GGGCGTGGTTTCTTGAGCATAGCAGCTAAACTAGCAACAATACACCCCAAACCAATTGATTCCTAAACGCCGCATCATGCAACCCAAAGCCCTAAATCAGCTGCAAATCTTATGCCCGCAGACCTAACCACCCGCATCATAAATCCTTACCCTAAACTCGCTCTCTACCCTCAACCCCAAACCTTTCTATACCCTTAACACCCCTAAACCCTTCGTAACCCTTTATCTGCTTTTGCTGAGTTGGTTGCTGTTTAGGGTTTAGGGCTGCCATAAAGAGAAAACCACAGGATGTACGACTTTGTTGCCATGTTTTTCTTACTGCAGCCACAAAACCTATCATCCTTTTAAAGGGAACCCATTATGGTAACGTAATTCTAACTCCTTAAGCCCCCAACCTAAGCCTTAAACCCAAAACCTTCTTCAAAGCTCCCTGTGTGGAGGGGTTGGCTTCTGGCCTTTGGCCGGGTGCAGTGGCTTGCAGCCGCTGACAACTGCATGGAATGACCCTTTGCACATTTGCTCCTAGGGGAAGAGGTTTACGGTTCAGACTCCAGGATTTAGGGGGTTTGAGTTAGTGTTGTAGTCTGATTTTTTGAAGTTTAGTTGTAGGGTGTAGCATTTGTTCAAAGCCAGTGGTCCAGAATTGTGGTCAACTTTCCCTTAAATGGTAATTTCCCGAAATAAGGGGACCCCAATATAGACCCCAAAATGCTATAGTCCTTAATATGGGGACCCCCAAAAGGGTACCCTAATTTTGGGAAATCCCCAAATTTTCCATGATAACATAACTAGCGTGTAGCTTTGCGCAGCTGAGCAAAAGGGATGTTTGCTATGGAGGCGCTCTTTGCTTTGCTGTTCGGATGCTGCCCAGACGCCAAACTTTTGTATGCATTTCTATCTCTATTTAGCGGTGTGTATATATATATATACAAATATATGTAACAGGCATATATGTATGTAACATGCATATATATATATATATGTACGTAACATGCATATATGTATCCCTATATGGCACTATATACCCCTATACCCTAAACCCTAAAACCGCTGCAGGCGGGAAGAGAGACGTTGCACAGACAAACTAAGCCCCTAGACCCTTGCTATCACAAGCTGAGCCTTAAGGCTTGAACCCCAGGCCTCCGCCCCTGTCACCCCAAAACTCTCGTGTCTCAAAGTCTACGCTTGGTTTGGGGTGTATAAACTAGGGACTGCTTCGGGGGGTATCCAGCATAGTGGGCCCTAAATTGAAATCATCCGAAAATCCTCAACCTAAACCCTACACGCCCTTAATCTTAAGCCCAGCCATAAGCTGCGGAGGACGCTGGCTGCATCAACACCATGATGGGCTGCTTGGCTGGCCTGCAGCCTTACTCTTGAAGTCCGAGGACTCTAACTTCTTGGGCACTTCAGTGTTTGTAACAAGGAGGCGAAACTGAAACCGCCCAAACCTGAATGTTAGACCTGAAGCCCCTAAACCTTTCGTGAACCCTAAATCTGAAACCCTCCTCTCTAAACCCTAAAGCCTCATCCCTGAAAACTACGCCCTAAACCCTGATCTTTATATTCCCACATGGTAGTTTCCCAAAAATAAGGGAACCCCAATATAGACCCAAAAAGATTATAGTCCTTATTATGGGACCCCCAAAATGGTACCCCTAATTTTAGGAAAGTCCCAAATTAAGGGATATTGGGCTTTCTGATGAACCCAAAGGATGGGCCCCAAAGCAAGCTGAGGCTACTGGAAGAAGACGGCCGCTTCTGCGGTCGCAAAGGCTGCAGAACGGTTTAGGGTTTGTGAGGTTTATAGGTTTCGGGGGCTGGGGTTTATACTCTTAAAGCTGTTTAGCCTTGAGGCTTCAAGATTTCAGGGTGTAGGGATTATGGGGGTCGGGCTTTCCCGAAGTATTCTGGTACCTAAATAGTACATACTTTGGGCCCAAATGCGTTCTGGTAACGATGCATTGGGGTCTACGGACGTACTATTGGGGCCATGTCGGACATATGAGAATTCTTAACGACGATGTCTACTCCACAAACCCTAAACACAGATTGAAACCCTCAAGGCGAACCTTAAAATTCTCTGATAGCTATAATAATAATGACGAGATTCTTAAGGGGGGTGGTTCAAGGGGGCAGATAGCCAAGAAACCCTAACACTCCCTGATACTCCCTAGTACTCCCCGAGTCTCCCGCAAGTCTGAAGTTTGGGGTTTAGGGTTTAGGGTAAACCTAGACCGCGTAGCTACCCCTCTTAAACCCATGAAGCAGTACCATCCATGGCGGTTGAGGCTTCGGGTGGTTAGCAGGGCATAACGGAAAATCCATATACAGTAATCCCTATACATATATAATCCCAATATAGCATTTTCCTTCAATTCCCTACTGACCCCCAGTAGAAGATAATACCCATATACAGCAATCCCTATAGGTATATAATCCCAGTGAAATATTTTCCCTTAATTCCCTACGAACCCCCAGTAAGTCCAAGGGTGTACAGGGCATAGGTTTCAGCTTGCAAGGTTTTGGGTTGCAGCCACTAACATGGTTCAAGGTTCGTGGATGTTCCAGATCCTGACAAATTTCCGTATCAACATTCAGGAGCTTCCATAAATAGAGGCGCCCAACTGATGGAGCTTCGAAAAATGGGCCCCTAATTTTCGAAAAAAAATACCTTCAGGTTTTGGGTGTCTGTAGAATTATGGGAGGCGGCATGCCTCTGTATACGGCAGGTCCTGAATTCCGAGAATCTGTAGACTACAACACTGAACCAAAACCAGACCATCCATCCCCAGAGACGTAAGATTATAGATATAAACAGTTACCTACAAATAGATCCTATTATGGGCTCTACATACCTAGACCCTCCTCCTACCCTCTATTAGGGCCTAAGTGCTTACTATTAGGGACCATATATCCCCAATTAAGGGTACAAGGAGGGTCCTGGTACAGTCTATAGATAGTACCTACTTTGGGCTCCTTGCAGCTTTAGGGATCGTTTGTGAAAGGATGTGCTATTTTGCACACTTGTGATTGGCACACGTTTAGAAGCCGCAGTAGGTGCATCCTGGGTAGGAAGCATCCTGATGATCATTACCTCACATACCTCCCTAAACCCTGTAGTTAGGGTTTAGGGTTTAGGGTTTAGGGTCACCCTTAAGTAGATAGAATATGGGGTATATGCCAGAAACAGTCCCCGTTCCAACATTGAAACTCGGAGAGGGGGTACCCAGCCCACCGTCCTCGTGGAGGAGGGCTTCCTAGGGCTCCGTGTTTGTTTTAAGGTGGTAGGTACCCATTGGGGTAGTATTAGGGTTATATTGGGGTTGTATTGAAATAATGGAAAATAGAATGGAAACTACTATCAAGGGCTTCCTCTGGTTTTATGTTAGTGGGGGTTTGTAGTCCCACTTAAGTAGATAGAATGTGGCTTTGGGTATATTATACTAAGATCCCCGTATACCCGATATTCTATCTACTCAAGAGTGACTATAGGGTTTAGGAAGGTATGTAAGTGTTTCTGGCCTTGCCAGGGCTACAAGTACCTCTCCACGCCACTGGTCGCTGAGCACTTGGACTATGCCACGCGGCTCAATGTTAACACATAATTTTACATTTTGGAGTTAAGGTAAGGGTTTAATGTATTATGACTGCAATTCTAAACCCCAACACTAAGCCTTGAGTCGTGAAGGGCTTTTGGGAGGTCATGTAAGGCGTCTACAGGCTACTGACAGGATTACATGGCTATGCACGTGCAGTAGTAGGCATTCCATTTTTTGGGCGTGCATTTTGTTTTGCGTGGCTTTCTCTGCTGGGGCACATACGATGCATGCTGTACTTATAGCAGACTTGCTTAAAAGCAGGAACCACTCTTAGAGAATTGACGCTCTTGGGTCACAATGCGGTATTCTTTTGAACGGGTCCACGGAGGAAGTAAGCATATTGCAAACTATACTTGGCTAGACTACCGCAGACTTAAAGAGACTGATCTGAAGCTCACTAACAACAGCCTCTGGCTTGATGCAGGAAGTCTTAGTTAAGAAGGTCAGAAGGTGCTAGGGTCGAGGGTGTGAAAGCCTACGTTGGATGGAGGAAATCTTGCATCCTCCTCTAGACTGTACACCTCATACCCGGGAGTTAGAGTATTTTGTGGGTCCTAAGTGGTGCAAGATGTCCTTCATCCACTGCAGGACGCATAAAGCCGTTCATTGTTTTCTGTTCAGCTGGGCCTGTGGGATTGACAGCCTAGGGTCCAACTCCTGAGCAAGAAAGGCTTGCAGCTTAATGCCCGAACCCCCAGGCTTCCTGGCTGTTAGCGGGAAGGGAGAAGTAAGTGGGAAAGCAAACGGAACACGGAATGGACACCGGGGGTATAATTGCCTATGTCGGGTTGAGGGTCATCTCACTGGCTGCTACACTGCTTGCAGTTAATAGTGGAAAAGGAATGAAGACATTAACGGTCAAGGTTTGTTGGTTTCGGGCTGGGAAAATGCAAAGCACAATGGACACTACTGTGGTTTGGGTCATTCCCACCTACAGTACCTGTCCCTAAGGGGGCTTTATTGTGTGGTTATTATAACCCCTATTATCTGTTATGGTAACAGTTACTGTAAGGGGGAAGGACCTAAACTATGGTGTTGAAACTTATGTAGGGGCCACGATAGGGATCCATGCCTCGATTCTGTACAAGCAGCAGCAACAAGAAGAGCTCAATCCAGAGCGCCCTTAAACCCTTAACTGGGTTGCTGCTTCGGAACTTAAAATAAGGCGCCATCATGGGTACATATATATATATAGTAAATACATGGTTTCCCCAATATGGTTACTTAATAGAAGTTCCTTAACAATCCAGTTCGCCCTGTTTAAGACCTTACATATCCCTAGAAGTATAGCCATTTCGAGAGACTCGAGGTGTCCATTTCATAGTCCGTGTGATTTCCATGCCCTACTCACAAGCAGCAAGCCAAGATCGGAATCATAATGCCAGCCTTGAATCGAAGGCGCAGAAGTTCATCGAGCATGCTTGCAATTGCCAAGGGGGCTCTTGCAGCTGCACAGATGTGGGGGCCTTGCGATGTGGGACTTCTCAAATTTCAGGACTCCTAGACATCCCAGGAATTTCTATGAAGACACATATGCATATATATATATACATGTGGTACATGTGCATTCGGCTTGAGTAATACGGGTCTTTTTGGAGAGGTATCTGGGGAAGCTTCCTTGTGTCAGGAAGGACTTGGGGTTTCGGAGTTTGCTAGGACCTTCTGACGTTACGGGGCTCATTGGAATTAAACTGATTAGACATCAGGATATATAGAGATGATGGAGAAATGCAAACTACCATAATGTGGTCATATAGGCTATAGGGCTTTGGGTTAGCCAGCTCTTCTTACCAAATCCCGCCTCTAAACCCTAAAGCCTGTTGTGAATTGGCGTTACTTTGGTGCTCTGACTTTGGCAAAGGGCTTCCATGAAGCACTCAGTGTCTCTTTGCCAGTGGGAAAGATTGTTACCGCCTCCGCCACCCTAAGCCCTAAACCCTAAACCCTAAACCCTATGGTACCTAGTTGCCCAGGCCCGGTCATGCATCGCCAGTACTCTGTCTTCAGCCAGGTTTCATTAGCTAACATTTCGCAGTATACAGTATTATACCTACCTTTGCCCTAAGCCCATACCCAACAGCTCTCCCATGAACCTACTATATCTATTCATTTGGGAAACAAACACAGGATATTCATATCCTTGTGCTCAGTGCCATGCTTGTCCAAGCATGCCTGTTCCGATTTAACTGGCTCTCAAAGCCTTACAAAACGGAAAACCTGCTCGTGCGCTGGAGGCGTCTTGCGGTTGCCCTGTCTACGTTGGCTTTCATTTCTATGCCTACGACTGCCAACCGGAGGCCTTTTTTTTTGGTTTCCTGGGCTTGTTAGACTTTACTGTTGAGTGAGGCGCCTTCAGTGCGTCTAGCACGTTTGAGGATTGGGCTGTGGACTCTAGACTCAGGGCTAGTTTCCGGACTTGGACCGTCAAAGCGGAAAACGAAGCATGGGGCCTTGCCGATCTTTGTTTGGGCATTGTGGACCTTACGTCGACAGGGCTCATGTGGGGCGAGATCCTTCAGATCCTGTTATAACTTGTCCCATGATCGATGGATGCTCACGCATGTGGATCTGTGCGTTAACAACAGCCACATGAATCTGGAGCAACCAATGTACATATGGTAGCTTCCCAAAATAGAGGGGACCACAATGTAGACCCCAAGATACTATCATC